GCCTCGACGTCACATAACCCTATGGGCCATCACGGCCTGTTACAAAGTGTGAGACAGAAAATGAAATTTTGGTTCGTGCTGGGATCCAATTAACTGCTTGGTGGTGCAACTGAACATTCCCAAGCTATTTCGAATGTATCCTGCTTTTCTGTAGTGGCAGCGCCTTGTCTGTCTACCCCTAACTTTGACCTGCGCTAGGAACGGTGTTCGTGTGTACAGAGGCAAGAGTTCAGCATCTAGCCCAGATTTTATTTGGCCATACAAAGACGTTGCCCTCGCTGAAATCAACTTCGTAGGGCCCATCTCAGATGACCTGGAAACTTGGCACCTGTAAGGAGGACTCTCCATAAGAATTCAGTGAGATATTTTGCATGAACGTTGCCAGTTCTCTTTGTTTCTGCTTTTACCAATTTAATGCCATTTCATCTAAATGAGTAAACGGTAAATAAAGGCAAAGTCCGTGTGCTTAATTAGTTAAGCACCGCACCATGCAGACGTACGGCGATAGGAGATATATCTTCACCATTCTTGCCCTTGGTATCAGATGGAGATGAGTGGTCATCTCGTCCCAGTCGCTCCACTCACAGGAAGAGTTTCCGGTTCCCGTAGGATAGGAGGCTGGGTCGGCCCCGTAGCTCGTCTGGACACCGTAGAGAAGAGAAACATCCGTTGCACCTTTCGGGAAACGAGCCACAGCCTTCCAGCCCGTAGCCCGTCGCCATACTTACTGAAACATACTGCTACATATTGCCTTCCACGAAAGAACCCGTAAAACTGTCTAGGGTGTGTATCTCTGCATATTCTTACGCTTCTACCGCTTGCAGACTTTCAGTTTCAAGTCCCGATATTAGAACTTATAAGAAACTAGTCTTTGGGAGTGAGTGTATTTTGTGAGGTCAGTACGTGTGTTCTTAGCTTAGTCTTCTGTTCGCAAAAAAAGGTAAGGAAACGAAACAGCTTGACTCCTCACGAGGCTTGGGCTTTACATCGCGATCCAGACAGAAGATTCCAGGGACGAAACAGAAGAGCCTAGAATCTCTGTGGCGGGTTAGTGGGAGGAACATTAAAAAGAAAGGCAGCACATGCTGATCTGCCTTTTGTGTTATATAGGAAGAATCAAGTACGAATTAATTTCGCTATAACAAACTCAAGCCGAGTTTTGGAACGTTTATTTCAACACATTGTCGAAGATACCAAATTTTTTGTTGCGTAAGTGGATTTTGTATCACGACAAGTCGTCTTCTGCAACAACAGTTTTTGCATATGGCCGTAGATGCTGAGGCACCTCTAAACTCACTCGAACAGCTTTTTCGGTAAAGCGTTTTTTGGTAAAGGGGAAAAGCACAGGGTGTGGATATTCAAAATACTCGGATGATTTGGCCCTCTGTAGTTTCTAGTGTCCCTTAAACTATATTCTCCGTAAACACAGTCAAAGAATCAAATGAATGTGACGATAGAACTGACAAGATTTTCGCAAAATTATTTCAAGCACTGCTTCTAGGTCCTCATTAGAATTCTGACTTTAAAGAAAAGTGACGTGTTATGAAAATGACCGCACAGTAAAGTACAACGAAAACGTATATATCAACAGCAGGAAGAATTTTGTTCTAAGCACAAAATTAGTAAAAAATCATTGGTTAAAATGACGGTAAATACTTTTCTGAAATTCATAATCCTTTCTTCAATTAAAAGTTTGTAACAGTAAAAATTGTTGTTCTCAGCTCTCCTCGACCAATCTGCAATGGAAAGATTTAAGATCTTTAAGTGTGTTTTAGGGCCGGTCACGGTAGCCGAGCGGTCTAAGGCATGTACTGTCTTCGGTCGCTTGGAAACCGGGATCATGGGTTCGAATCCCAGTCAGGGCATGGATGTTTAGTCTGTGTGTGTGCGTTTTTCTGTGTTTGTGTACAGGTAGAGGCCTTGCGACGAGCTGATCACCCGCCCAAGGAGTCCTACCGAATGTGTAAGATCTAGAAAAACCGAAGTGAAGGGAGAAGTTCATGGAGGTAGGCCTAGGCCCACTGGGGCTGTAGTGCCAAGGAGGAGGAGAAGTGTGTTTTAGGATTTTAAGTTTCATTTACCATCCACGAAGACCTCAACTTACCCTTCGTAACGGATGAGATTAAAAACAAGCTAACGGATTACAAAACCGGATTACAGGCCATGAGAACCAGCTGATGGATGAGCTATCGAACCCACACGCTAATGCAAGAAGATTGAAGAAAAAGTGGCCAGAAGACTTATGAAATTAAATGGATGAGAACTGCCGCTGGGCAGTTACCGCCTTCAAGACATAAGAAGATATATCGCATTTCCTTGTTACTGCATTTACGGTTAAGTAGATTGTAAAATGCAAAAAACAATAATAAAAAGAAATTTCATTTGTAAATAGAACAATCTTTTGTCATTTCGTTTGTTTTATAAGAACACAAAAAACAGAATGTACAAAACTATAATTTTGCCTGTGGTTCTGTATGGATGTGAAACTTGAACTCTGAATATACGTAGACTGAGGGTGTTTCAGAACAGGGTACTGAGGGTAATATTTGGGCCGAAGAGGGATGAAGTGACAGGAGGTTGGAGGAAACTGCATAATGAGGAGCTTCATAAATTATACTCTTCACGAAGTATAATTAGAATGATTATGTCAAAGAGGTTGAGCTGGGCAGGACATGTAGCAGGAATGGGCATAGAAGAGGAATGCATATAGGAAATTTGTGAGAAAGCCAGAAGTAAAGAAATCACTAGGAAGACCAAGACGTAGATGGACAGATAAATAAAAATTAATATTAGGGAGACAGTTTGAGGTGGTATGGACTGAATTGATTTAGCTCAGAATAGGGACCAGTGGAGGGTTCTTGTGAATACGGTAATGGAACTTCAGGTTCCATAAAATGATGGGAATTTCTTGAGTAGCTGCACAACTGGCGACTTCTCAAGAAGGGCTCAGCTCCACAAGTTAACTCAGTTAGTTATTGCAAACGAAACCTCTGGGAGGAAAAAATAATCTTACAAAACCTGTAGAGAGACTTATATGGAATGAAAAGGTATGCAAGGAAAATAAAGAAAAATACATCCTCAGCACAGTTGAAAGTGATGTGTTATATGGAAGTGAAATGTGATTATTAAGTTTTTTAATTCGCTTGGGGGGGGGGGTCCAACTGGGTCCACTCGGCACGGCGGCCACTGTTTGGCCTATTGTAGCTTGCCCCGGGTGATTATAATGATGGAGAATTTGGTGGAATGAAGATTAGCAGGGGAAACCGAAGTACTCAGAGAAAATCCGCCCCAGCGCCATTTTGTCCACCACAAATCCCAGTTGACCAGATCCGCGGTGGGAAGCCAGCGACTAACCGCTTGAGCTATGGCTTGCCCTGGTTATTAAGTTAGTGAAGAGTGAGGATAGAAGAAGTGAGAAGGTGTCTTCAGGTGACAAGAGAAAATAGGTTGACAAATGAAATATTATGATAAAAAAATAATGTTACTTCATCGGAGATAAGCACCTGAACAGCCGAGCGCTGGAACCGCGCGGCCGCACAAAACAAACGCAAGAGGAGGCACCTGCCCCCTCAACGGAAGGAAGACGAAGAAATAAAGGGGGGCCTTGCCTGAGTGGAAAACACGTAGTAAGTCCGTTATGGAAAATGGTGCGTGAGAGCACAGGTTACTCCGAAATCTTAGGACGACAAACCCATGAAGGGGTAAAGCCAAGAAAGAAGAGAACAACTTTTTAATTTCGAAGTAATTTCTGTGAATGGCGATCTTTGGGCACTCTACGTAGTTTATGTAGTGTCGAATGATAGAAGTGGTAGAATAATAATAGATAGATAATAGATAGATAATAGAAATAATAGATTGGGAAGGAAGTGATAGTGTCTTGTTTCAATATAACTCCGTAATCCGTCATTCTCCTGGACGAGCAGAGAACAGCAGGTCCCCAGAATGAGACTGTAACCGGAAATACGGGTGATGGCCGTGAAGCCATGACGTTCATGAGGACGTACTTTTATCGCGGATTGTATAAATCTGAGGTCCTGCCCGTCACCTTTACCGTGTGAAGTGCTTTTTCGTGACTACTTAACAGCTATGGTTGGGGTGCAAACTCAGGGCAGTCAGTGTTTAGTACTCCAATTTCCCCTGCCAGCCATTATCCCGCCAGTGCTCCACGCTCACATATCATCATTCTTTTAAACAAGCGGCTGATGCGATAGGCCCCTCTGAAGTTGCAGACCAAGGACCTTTGCCTAAGTCTCATAAAGTTCGTATCATAGTAAATCATTCTACATGCATCGGGTGAAGAGTAAATGTTACACACTAAAAACTCCGTGGCCTGCAGTCCGCAAGGGAACTATACCGACTGAGCGGCCGCCGCTTGTCGGCGAAGTTAGTGCCAACTGTAGTGGATAGAGGGTGTTGCGTGGTCAGCGCAACGGATCCCCACGGCCGTTAATATCGGTTTTCTAGACCGGAGCCGCTATTTCCTTGAAATAGCTCCTCAATTATCCTCACGAGGCCGCGTGAACCCCGTTCCAGACCCACTACTTCTCAGAAAATCTGGTATCGCCGGGAATCGAACCCGGGACCTATGTATCTGTAGCCAGGAACTCTGACCACTAGACCACGGAGGTAAAAAAATTACACAGTTCTCTTTATAAAACTTTGGGCTTTAATTCATGTTGTGTGCATGCAAGGTAAATGAACCAACAAGCTGGCTCAGGCGGTAACGCCTGTGACTTTTGTTTGGGTAGTTGCCCGTTGAATCTCGGGTGGCTACAGACTGTTTTTCGTGGGTTTCACCGGAACCTCCCTGTATATTCCGGGATAGATCTTCAGATCAGGCCGCGATCCTCCCCATGCAAGTGCTTTCAATTTCATTACTCACTCTATAATCTGAATTAAATAAACTGAGAAATATGGCCAGCAAGACACATAATTAGTTGCTACTGTAGCTCCTAGCCTTTGTATATTATGTTCCACCTGATGTCAACTTTTTTCCACAGCGGTCCACTGCGAGCCAATGGAAATCAATGACCCTTACCTGACGTCACGCGTGGAAGGCACTCGACTGGGTCAAGTGGCAGTTTTCCAGTGCCCTATTGGTTTCCGACTCAATGGCACTTCTAACCTCACTTGCCAGGCTTCAGGTTAGTTCAACATTGCACAAGTCAGTTCCTCGTTGTTTGGGAATTATATTTAATTTTGTTTAGGTTTGAAGTTGTTTTTATTTCCTGACAGTTGCAGAGCGAAGTTCCGATGTAAGTATACCAGACTCCTGAAAATTGTTAGAAGCATGAGGGGAAATCATACTTTCTCTCTGGTATATTTTGTATCGGACTTCTGCAGTCGTTGTCTCATGACATATTTTGCTGACAAGTTTCAAGAGATTTGCAAACATCAGATATGGGGAAATTTTAAAGCAAGTGGCCAGTACCTAACACTGGAGAGTTATTGCCTTCCAAGGACATTGCACACGACTAAAAATAATTGCTTATTCTAGTTCGTAGCTTACAGTTTTTTCAAATAAATATTTTTATGAGGGATGATACTGCTGTTCTGTTGCGAGTCGGAGTACAAGGAAACCGGAGAAAGTTGTGCTGAATACAAGGGAACACAACCATTTGTATGCTTGACATGGTACGAGGTAATTATAAGCTTCCTGAACAAATGCACAGATACAACAATTTGCACCTCCGGGTCTGTTCAAAGAAGAAATTTGAAACGTGTGACAAATTACAAAGTTCATGCTCCAGTTTGTGTACCCGGCCTAGATGCGTTCCTTTGATAACAGCAGATGTCCCGACCACAGTCTAGCTCTGTCCATAACCTGCCCATCCCGCTCTTACTCATACGCTGTATTGCAAAATTTCTTATTAGCTCTCATGGACTTAGCCTGGTCTCAGGTATTTATAATCTTCATGTTTTGTGACATCGGTTTGTCCATTGATTGAGGCTAGCTCTTTCTCACGGACCCAACAGAATAGGTTTTTCCTTCACCTGAGGACGGAAACAGATCCAGTTTCCGAAACGTCGTGTTTTTATTAGTTATCTTAAAAACCAGGACGATGGATAAAGTCCAAAAACCCAATATATCAGTGTGTTATACACCATCGTCAGAATCCTATAGTAATTACTACGATGTGCATGACTTTGTTAAAATATATATCTAAATTATTATAGTTAGTCTGTTATTAGTCTGTGACTGATGGCATTATAATAATATAGTTCCCTTATGTATTGATATGTCCTTCTGAAGATGGTCGCTCAGACCGCAACATGTAAAGGATGAAAGGTAGAAAAATACAACATTTATCAATGGCACTGGACGGCATTAATAATCTTTTATAATACTCTTAGTGTGACGGACAGGATGAACTAAGTGGCATTCTGGTAGCTCCAATACTAATCTCAGACGGACAGATTACTGGCTATTCCAGCCCAATATTAGGAGGCAACCTGCTTCTCATTCCGTACTTCATGATATGTTCATTCCATTTCACGCTCTATAATCCTCGCTGCTGACACAGCCTCGATGAAGTCACTGGAAGCATCTGCCGTGATAGTCCCAAGAGGCTCAAATGTCACTCATAATAATATTGACTTTACTCTTAGGGAGGCATTAAGAAATCTGACGCCATATTAATCCGTTGTTTTTATTTTTTCCACGTGTTGTCCATACGCAGGGCTTTGTTCGAGAAAACTGCAGCCAGCTTAGCGCAGTAAGGGCCACAGTTCGCACTAAGCTACCCGCGTAAATCATTCGAATCGTAACCAAAGCGTCATGTGTCGTCAGCGGCAGCTCCATGTTAAGCTAGCCACGCACATAGGCTGTTTTTGTTAGAGATTTGGACAGTAGAAATATTGATATGTGAAACAGAGGACTACGTGACACCGGCTCATCGATTTTATCTGCAAACAGACATTGCATATATGTTTGTTAATCCAATTAGGTTTGAGATTAATCTCGACATTTGTCATGTTAACATGACAAGCATATTTCACTGCTCGTCTGATTCCTTTGTGCCTGCAGTTTCAATGATATAATAGTCGAAACACGACATCGAGTGCTATTGGCCCACTGAACATTTGAATTAGCAGCAGAATTTCGAGATATCGATTTTACTCAGAAATGGAGACTGGTTCTAATGGTTTTCTCGGTTACTTCTAAAAGCTCAGATTTGGTGTCTTAAAAGAAGAAAATTGCTTCTCTTGCAATTCACGGCTCAGAAACGAAGTCTAATTGCAAACTAGAAGAAATGCTTTGTTTCTTCAAATAAGACAGAGTGTTCCAAAATGGAGGTAACCTAAAATATTCTCTCGTGTAAAGGGAACTTCCAGATTTAAACCTGCCAGTCAATTTGTAGAGAGGTATGAATGAATGAATGTATGAGGGGTGGGCCTTCTCGGCCCTTGCACCGCGACCTACAGTGGCCTGTTGTGCTTCTTGTAGAGAGGTAACTCAGAACTCTGAATTGTGCATTGAACACGGAGGTTATATACGGAGGATCTCATTTAAAAATGTTTATAGATTGAATAAGTGAATGAGAAAGTTATAATGTGTTTTATGTACATTTTACTAAGCAGTTACCTGACTTCTGGTGGACTTACACATATCAGTGCCATCTTATAATTTCCTTGATACTATTCGTAAAGTCCTGAGACTGTGAGGTTAACTGAAGTGTGTACATACTGATTGTCGATGTGCCCTGTGTGAGTAAGCACTTGTGAGATGTATTTATTTCGTAATGTGATACTATGACTCCATATTTGAGACTTTCTGGACTCCATATACCTGAGTGTAGAATGTGGTATCTGTGCAATAATTCGTAACTGATTTATGTTAAGTTTCATAACGACATTGTTTCGATTAAATATGTTATTTAGCATGGAATGAGACAGGAAAATATTGATGTTAATTTTTTGGAGACAACGTAAAGGTCGTAATGGAGTAGTTAGTTAGTTATTGGAGAGGGTGGGTTTCCCCATGCACTTAGACCAGTATTGGTCCATTGTGCTTCCCTCTATGATATTCTACCAGTCTCTATACCCTACGATATTGGTGCGTACCATTAGTCCCGACCGAGCCAGCGAGTTCGGCCTCTACTGGCTTGGCGGTATCTGTAATGCTTCCCCCATCTGTCAGAGGCATTAGAGACTACTGTTGGGCGGGAAATGTCCTTGAATTTGGCTCAGTGACCTCCTTTGGAGATATGAGGTTCTTTTACGTGCCGTAAAGCTACGACACGGGACCCACGGCTTAAAGTTCCTCCCGGAGGACTTGTTCCCCGAATTTTTCCGCCCTTAAAAATTCCACGACCTCCGCCGGGTTTGAACCCGCTTACCACGAGTCGTGAGGTGGGAACGTTACCTCTAGACTACGGAGGCCGCTTCGTAATGGAGTAAGTGTTTGAGAAGAAAATATTCAGATCGAACAGAGGTGAGGCAGCAGGAACATGCAGACAGTTATGTACGTGTAGTCAGAGGTTTTATAATTCATAGTTATTTATTATTAATATTTTTTTTCTTCCTCTTCGCTCCAACTTTGGATCATAGGGCTGATTTCTCAGCTTCAGTGATCATTTTTACAGACGGTAGGACTCCTTGGATAGGTGATTAGCTCGTCGCAAGGTCTCTGTCTAAACACAGGACAACACAAGCACAGAATGAACGCATACATACGATTACATCAAACATCGATGCCTTATGTGGGATTCGAAATCGCGATCCGGGCTTAACGAAGACAGTGCATGCCTTACACCGCTCGGCTACCGTGGCCGGTACAAATAACCCTTACGGATATTTACACTTCCTGTAGTCTCATAAGCATATAGAACAACTGTTTCTTGAAGTCGTAATACCCTTGCCTTTTTTCCTTTTTCTTCTTTTCTCCTTTCCAGACGTTTCTTTTGTGGGTTTTACTCATTTACTTTAAAATGCCGCACGTAAACCTGACGCTCTACTCAAATTGAAAGTTAACATGTAAAACGTAAATTTTACAATTAACTACCTCATGAAGCAGCCTTATTTTCAAAATATGTGAATGTGAGGCACAGGAAGTGTCGAAATTTTAGAAAGATTTGCATTGAAATAAAATAATTAATTATTATTTCAACTTTCAAAGAAATTTCAGTCGGATTCCTTTTTAAAATCGAAATCAGTGACATATTATTGAAAATGCACAGATTAGCTGGTAACTGTATTTGGGTTGTCATGGCCATGCCTGAAAGCGGCATGGTCTCATCAGCAATTTTCGCTTGCGATTGTGTAGCTTTTGTGTGGAGAGCGAAGAGTGTGACAAATTTATAATTCTGCATGAACAATGTATTTACATATTAGCGATGACTCTATGACTATAGCCATAACGCGAAACATGTCACAGCCCAGTAGATACTCATTTCCAATGGAATATTGCGAGAGACAGCACTGGCAAACCAGAGCTGCACGGCTACTGCACTCAGTCGCGCTGGGGCTGTGGTTGGTCTCTCCCGTTATCAATATAATCATATGAAAGCAGGTGGAGATGGCCATATTAGCCAGTAGATTTATAGCCAGCCACAAGAGCTGACACTGCGATTTGTGAAGCTTCCTGTCACATTATCATGCGACCACGCGTGTACATATTTCGAGAAGACTGAACACGTTTTGAAGTGTGGATAACCTGTCAGTCTGTGCTCTGTGCAATGGTAGATTCAGTTTGAACCCGAAATGTGCTCTTACATTTGAATGCAAATGTTGCTGTCGATCCTGGTGGCCGCCTGCGGAGTTGAATCTTGTGTTTGGATTCATCGTTGTGCCAATATTATTATGCCGGAGAGTTTCCATTGTCTGGGATGTGTTTGATGTGCACGGAATTGCGGGAGTTGGGTTCTAATTAGTCTTCAGCCGATTGGCTGGCATTATGCTCGCACGTTTCGTATTATTTATTGCGCTAATTTTTTGACCGTTTGGGACTGGACGGTGTGGCTTCTGATTACTATGCCAGGCATTAGACTACATGGGCAAAGAATCTCACATGAACACGAATATTGAGACAATTTCAGAAATTTTGTGTTGCTCTATACAAAATACATAACAAACACTGATCAGTGCACAGGTCTCTCGATAGGCTTAAACCCCTATGAAGAATTTCTAGCGAGTGCCAAAGGAA